AGTTTTAATGACTCCATCCTAAGTGTATGTAAACTTCCGACTTCAACTGTAGGTCATAGCCATTCTGAGGTACCACCCTTATGCATATTACATGTTTTTCCTCTGGTGTTGAATTCAAGCTGAGTAAATCGGGGCTCAGGAAGGACTGGTGGTGCGGGATAGACAGCGACCCCCAACATGGATAGGTAGATAGTCACTTTCAAATGTCACCAGCCCAAGATATTAGTGACTTTAAACAAACAACTACATAAATCAGTCGCTAACTGGATGGCCAAGAGAAACAACCTTCGTAGAACCTTTTGTCATAAATGACTACATGAGGATTATGTCATAGCTGAACATTGTAATGTCTCAATAACCAAATAAATATGTGCTTTGCAATTCAGTAATATATAATTCAGTGACGATTGCATCACTTCATTATAAGTGAGATTGCAAATCTATTATAGTTGACAGTATATTTAATTCATCTACAGTATATAGCTCCATTGATGATGTTGTGACTTGCAATGGTTGTGGTAAGTGGTTGTTTCACTGTCCATTCTGCTAAATTACTCAAATGTCAAATTTTTGTAAGAGAAACCAGGGGCTATGTAATATTTGCTAATGGTACATACCTTTCTTGCTCTTATCAAAAGTAATGCTAAAAAAGCAAGCAGGTACATTATTACAGTAATGTCTGTGAAAATGCATATATATATATATATATATATATATATATATATATTGTAATTTGAAACCTACCATAATGCACTGTTGTTTCATCCACCTTCAGTTGAGGGTTGATGAAACAGCAGTGCATTATGGTAGGTTTCAAATTACAATATATATATATATATATATATATATATATATATATATATATATATCCATTTTCACAATCAATCACAATGTGAGGTCATGAACTCCAGCAGGTCCAGGACCAGCGTTTTATTGGCTTCTGCCCCCAAACTCTGCCCTTTCTGCAACACCCACATGCCAGGGATCAGAAAGAAGCAGACAGAATGAGTCAGCATTCTCTGGAGAGTCTTATTACACCCAGTGAAGCCATGACACCCTCTTCAGATTCCAAAGATGACACGAAGATCACCATAAAGTCTCGATTCAATTATTCTAGAACTGCATCTGTTATATAAATGCTAGATAGATAGCTGGTTATTAAATGCATTGAAGCGTTTTCTCTCACTTTTACATTTTAGTCATTTAGCAGACGCTCTTATCCAGAGCAACTTACAGTTAGTGAGTGCATACATTATTTTTATTTTTTTCATACTGCCCCCCCGTGGGAATCGAACCCAAAACCCTGGCGTTGCAAACGCCATGCTCTACCAACTGAGCTACACCCCTGCCGGCCATTCCCTCCCCTACCCTGGACGACACTGGGCCAATTGTGCACCGCCCCATGGGTCTCCCGGTCGCGGCCGGCTACGACAGAGCCTGGATTCGAACCAGGATCTCTAGTGGCACAGTGCCTTAGACCACTGTGCCACTCGGGAGCTGAGCTCTTTTACCATTATGAAATAAAAATGTATGACATCACCTTTGACCGGGGAAAGCCAATTAAATTGCCCTGAAGTGAGAGAAAGAGAGAGAGAAATGCTAAAATCTCTTCCAAAAAAGCTTAAGGGATTCAAACCAGCCACTTTTCACTTACTGTCCCAACACACTAACTGCTAGGCTATCCACCACCCTATATATTAATGATATATTAATGGGTTGATATTAGATGTACATTTGCTGAATGTTGAAAATAAAATCTAATTAATTGGGAATGAGAAATGCAAAATTAATCTGCTGACTGTTTTATTGCTTTTGTGTATGTTTATTGATAACATGTAGACCTGGCCCCTTATTCACAGTCACAGAGTAGGAGTGATCTAGGATCACGTTCCCCTCTGTCCATATAATCTTGTTTATGATTATGATCTAAAAGGTTAAACTGATCCTAGATCAGTACTCCTACTCTGAGACGCTTTATGAATACGGGCCCTGGTCTTCATCTGGTCTCAGAGTTGAGTGTCAGTGTCAAGATACATTTGTATTTTTATTTTTATCACTTTGGTACTATTCTCACAAGTATTTGGTACATTTTAACAACTCTTAGTACAAAACTCCAAACTGGTCACACTTGTAAAGCAGCCAGTCTCATTCAAAACCTGTCATTGTGCATTCATTTGGATTGTAAACATCTCTCACCACACAACCATTGATTCAAAATAAGTTTATTGTGAAATGAAATGAGAACATTGGTTTAATCACCAAAACACAACATAATGATATATTTTCAATTTAGTCGTTTTAACTACCAGTTAATCCAATAGCAAACAATGCAAGATATGCGTTTCAAATCGCCCTTTGAAGTGCTGAAAGTAATATGCTACAGTACTGTAAATTACACAGTTTTCACATTAGGCAGTACGCTTACATTACCCAACAAAATTAACATAACATCTGTAATATCTATCCAATGTGTAATTAAAGGTGTGATTAATGAAGACATCCTCTACAATCATTCATGCAAAAATTATAATTGCAACATAGGTGTACTGTCTGTAATTAAATGTAAGAAATTAAACAAATAAAATGAATGAAAATAAAACATTTAGCACGCATTAATTTGCATCAAGCATGTCTTGAGCATTTGGCCATAAATTCTCATCCACATCACAGTGAATGTCCTCATTGTTCATGCACCGCGGGAAAAACCTTTTGGCATGGTGAATCCAAGCTTGACATTGGTCTGCATTTATGTCATCGCATGCCTCATCCATGGCCAGAAGGAGGGTCGCACGCTCATGTGGATGGCGATCGTACACCTTCCATCTCTATGTTGTAAAAAATTCCTCAAAAGGGTTGAGGAAAGGAGAGTTGGGGGCAGATATAGGGTCACGCTTCGGGGATGGGCCCGAAAAAATGCTTGAGTGGCGCAGCGGTCTAAGGCACTGCATCTCAGTGCTAGACACATCACTACAGACCCTGGTTCGATTCCAGGCTGTATCACAACCGGGCCGTGATTGGAAGTCCCATAGGGCGGCGCACAATTGGCCCAGCGTCATCCGGGTTTCACCGGGGTAGTCCTTCATCTTCCATACACAAAAGAAAAATGTATGCACGCATGACTGTAAGTCGCTTTGGATAAAAGCGTCTGCTAAATGGCATATTATTATTATTATTATTATTGTAAATAAGAATTTGTTATTGACTGACCTGCCTAGTTAAATAAAGGTTAAATAATTATATATTTTTTAAACAATGACATACAGTGCCTTGCAAAAGTATTCATCCCCTTGGAGTTTTTCCTATTTTGTTGCATTACAACCTGTAATTTAAATATATTTTTATTTGGATTTCATGTAATGGACATACACAAAATAGCCCAAAAAATTTGAACAAATAAATAACGGAAAAGTGGTGTGTGCATATGTATTCACCCCCCTTTGCTATGAAGCCCCTAAATAAGATCTGGTGCAACCAATTACCTTCAGAAGTCACATAATTAGTTAAATAAAGTCCACCTGTGTGCAATCTAAGTGTCACATGATCTGTCACATGATCTTAGTATATATACACCTGTTCTGAAAGGCCCCAGAGTCTGCAACACCACTAAGCAAGGGGCACCACCAAGCAAGCGGCACCATGAAGACCAAGGAGCTCTCCAAACAGGTCAGGGACAAAGTTGTGGAGAAGTACAGATCAGGGTTGGGTTATAAAAAAATATCAGAAACTTTGAACATCCCACGGAGCACCATTAAATCCATTATTAAAAAATGGAAAGAATATGGCACCACAACAAACCTGCCAAGAGAGGGCTGCCCACCAAAACTCACAGACCAGGCAAGGAGGGCATTAATCAGAGAGGCAACAAAGAGACCAAAGATAACCCTGAAGGAGCTGCAAAGCTCCACAGCAGAGATCTGTTCATAGGACCACTTTAAGCCGTACACTCCACAGAGCTGGGCTTTACGGAAGAGTGGCCAGAAAAAAGCCATTGCTTAAAGAAAAAAATAAGCAAACTTGTTTGGTGTTCGCCAAAAGGCATGGGGGAGACTCCCCAAACATATGGAAGAAGGTACTCTGGTCAGATGAGACAAAAATTTAGCTTTTTGGTCATCAAGGAAAACGCTATGTCTGGCGCAAACCCAACACCTCTCATCACCCCGAGAACACCATCCCCACAGTGAAGCATGGTGGTGGCAGCATCATGCTGTGGGGATGTTTTTCATCGGCAGAGACTGGGAAACTGGTCAGAATTGAAGGAATGAGGGATGGATGGCGCTAAATACAGGGAAATTCTTGAGGAAAACCGGTTTCAGTTTTTCCGAGATTTGAGACTGGGACGGAGGTTCACCTTCCAGCAGGACAATGTGTATGCATGCTCAAGTTTTCTGTTTTTTTTTGTCTTATTTTGCATCTTCAATTGCATGTTGTGTAAATCAAATGATACAAACCCCCCAAAAAATCTATTTTAATTCCAGGTTGTAAGGCAACAAAATAGGAAAAATGCCAAGGGGGGTGAATACTTTCGCAAGCCACTGTAGGTGACCCCTTCACCTTGGCAGGCCTGCTCAATTTAATTGAGAAACACAATGAGATGTGCAGCGTTGTAGGATCCAAGTACTGGCCTATGTCCTACCACACCATCTTCAGAGATAACTGCGCACATGGAGATGTTTCCCCCATGTTGTCCAGGCACTTGGACGGTTGCCCATTGGCCGATGAGTTTCTGCCCACGGCACCGAGTTTTGGCAGGGTTGAAGCCCGCTTCATCAACAAAGATATACTTGTTCACAGCAGCATCAAGCACCTTCACCCTCTAAAAATATATTTTGGTTAGTTATTTTTACAGTATAGTTCCAATAAGATATTGTGAAGTAGCATGTGCATCAAATAGTACCAGTAATAGGTGTCATTGTTCTCCTCAATGGCCTGCTTTATTTCAGACAGCCGTATGTAATTCCTGGCCCTCACCATTTCCACCACTGCCCACTCCTTCTGGTCGGTCAGCACACGACCACCACCATGGGGTCTTCTGTCAATTCTGAAGGTAGAACAGAGTATTCTGTCACTAGATCATACTGTAACAACACTCTAACATGTTTTGTGAATTCACATGCATTACAATATGTAATTTACTGTAAATAATGGTAAAGCATAGTGCATATCCTGCAGACTTAACGGTTTTCATGATCATTGCAACTCCACGAGGTAAGATCTTGCATGGAGCCCCAGGCCAAGGGAGATTGACAGTTATTTTGTGTTTCTTCCATTTGCGAATAATCGCACCAACTGTTGTCACCTTCTCACCAAGCTGCTTGGCGATGGTCTTGTAGCCCATTCCAGCCTTGTGTAGGTCTACAATCTTGTCCCTGACATCCTTGGAGAGCTCTTTGGTCTTGGCCATGGTGGAGAGAATCTGATTGATTGATTGCTTCTGTGGACAGGTGTCTTTTATACAGGTAACAAACTGAGATTAGGAGCACTCCCTTTAGTGTGCTCCTAATCTCAGCTCGTTACCTAAATAAAAGACACCTGGAAGCCAGAAATCTTTCTGATTGAGAGGGGGTCAAATACTTATTTCCCTCATTAAAATGCAAATCAATTTATAACATTTTTGACAAGCTTTTTTCTGGATTGTTTTGTTGTTATTCTGTCTCTCACTGTTCAAATAAACCTACCATTAAAATTATAGACTGATCATTTCTTTGTTAGTGGGCAAACGTACAAAATCAGCATGGGATCAAATACTTTTTTCCCTCACTGTATAGTAGACAAACCAGTTTAAAATCTATAGGTTTATCAAACGTTTAAGTGATTAACCATTAAGCGCATTGGATTAAGTGATGGTCAAATGTATTTAAACAAATGAGAACAGAATCATATGACAAGTATTGTGAGCATTGCATTGTGAAAGACAATTATATGAAAGGTATTTCTAGATGAAACACTGATTAGGTTTGGTGAAAAAGTTACTGTATGGTTTTGTATGTTGTACTAAGTCAATTGAAAATGTGCTTAAAGTTGAGAAATAACAGCCTTTTTGATGATCTGTTTTGAGTTTTGTACTAAGAGTTGTGAAATGTTACCACATACAGTGCATTCGGAAAGTATTCAGACCCATTGACTTTTTCCACATTTTGTTACGTTACAGCCTTATTCTAAAATTGATTTAATTGTTTTTTCCCCCCTCATCAATCTACACACAATACCCCACAACGTCAAAGCAAAAACAGGTTTTTAGACATTTTTGCAAATGTATTAAAAATAAAAACTGAAACATCACATTTACATAAGTATTCAGACCCTTTACTCTGTGCTTTGTTGAAGCACCTTTGGCAGCGATTACAGCCTCAAGTCTTCTTGGGTATGACCCTACAAACTTGGCACACCTGTATTTGGGGAATTTCTCCCTGCAGATCCTCTCAAGCTCTGTCGGGTTAGATGGGGAGCGTCGCTGCACAGCTATTTTCAGGTCTCTCCAGAGATGTTCGATCGGGTTCAAGTCTGGGCTCTGGCTGGGCCACTCAAGGACATTCAGAGACTTGTCCCAAAGCCACTCCTGCGTTGTCTTGGCTGTGTGCTTAGGGTCGTTGTCCTGTTGAAAGGTGAACCTTCGCCCCAGTCTGAGGTCCTGAGCGCTCTGGAGCAGGTTTTCATCAAGGATCTCTCTGTACTTTGCTCTGTTAATCTTTGCCATGATCCTGACTAGTCTCCCAGTCCCTGCCGCTAAAAAACATCCCCACAGCATGATGCTGCCACCACCATGCTTCACGGTAGGGATGGTGCCAGGTTTCCTCATGATGTGACACTTGGCATTCAGGCCAAAGAGTTCAATCTTGTTTTCATCAGACCAGAGAATCTTGTTTCTCATGGTATGATAGTCCTTTAGGTGCCTTTGGCAAACACCAAGTGGGCTGTCATGTGCCTTTTACTGAGGAGTGGCTTCCATCTGGCCACTCTACCATAAAGGCCTGATTGGTGGAGTGCTGCAGAGATGGTTGTCCTCCTGGAAGGTTCTCCCATCTCCACAGACGAACTCTGGAGCTCTGTCAGAGTGACCATCGGGTTCTTGGTCACCTCCTTGACCAAGGCCCTTCTCTCCCAATTGCTCAGTTTGGCTGGGCGGCCAGCTCTAGGGAGAGTCTTGGTGTTTCCAAACTTCTTCCAATTAATAATGATGGAGGCCATTGTGTTCCTGGGGACCTTCATGCTGCAGACATTTTTTGGTACCATTCCCCAGATCTGTGCCTCCACAATCCTGTCTCGAAGTTCTACGGACAATTCCTTCGACCTCATGGCTTGGATTTTGCTCTGACATGCACTGTCAACTGTGGGACCTTATATAGACAGGTGTGTGGCTTTCCAAATCATGTCCAAGCAATTGAATTTACCACAGGTGGACTCCAATCAAATTGTAGAAACATCTCAAGGATGATCAATGGAAACAGGATGCACCTGAGCTCAATTTCGAGTCTCATAGCAAAGGGTCTGAATACTTATGTAAATAAGGTATTTCTGTTTTGTTTTTTAAATAAATTTGCAAACATTTCTAAAACCCTTTTTTATTTTTGTCATTATGTGGTATTGTGTGTAGATTGATGAGGAAAATGTTTTATTTAATCAATTTTAGAATAATGCTGTAACGTAACAAAATGTGGAAAAAGTCAAGGGGTCTGAATACTTTCCGAATGCACTGTACTTGTGAAAATAGTACCAAAGCGATTTTTAAAAAACTGTAAAAGCCCTGACCTCTAATACACATGGCATGTCATCATCATCACACACTGAATTAATGTAAGTTAGATGTCCACCAATCATACACTACGTGACTGACACGTATTGGCCGACAGGGTAGTGATGATGGCTCATGATCACAGAAAGGAGATGTCATGGGTGAGTGGGGAGGGCCATTGTACGAACAGAAAGTCAGGTCAAAGCAAAATCAACCCAGCTCTCTCAAAGGGAAGCTGAATGAAATGGTTGGCCTTTGAAAAGTCGTTGCTTTTCTTGAAGTTTAACCTTTGGACGTAGTTGCAGCAGTTAGCCTATATTTAGTTTGTTGACCATCTCTTTCTTTTCTTCATTTCCTTTGCTGCCGGATTTGCTTTCAGGGTAGCTGAAATAGAGGTACGATAGAGTGCATGCACACTGTCCTATATCTGTAACAAGCCAAAACCTTTCAATCATATAGGGCTGATGCTAAGTGTGGAGTGTGAGTGAATAAGTCAAACCCACTTAAAATTCAAGTCAAACCCACTTAAAATAGAAAATGGATGGAAGGTTGTTTATCGGCCATATAGACTGCAACAATACTGAAGGACAATTGATACAAGATATATGTGAGATTAATAGCACACAAATTAAAGCGTTTCAACAAACTGTCTTTCTCAGAGCAACTGATTTTCATTGTGCTGCACAGTACAGCTATGATTGAGCAGTGGTTCAAATGGGCAACATGGACGAGCCGGGAGACCTCAGTCACAATCTCGAGGCAAGTTAGGGCGCTGTTCAAAGCTTAGCTGGTTATATAAACACATATGGTTGAAACACACTGTCCAATGGACCCCAGAGGACTTTTTCACCATGGGACCAAATGTTTAGCATGATATTATTAGACCCCAACTCAGTTTGATCTTCTGTGCTTGTGCTATATATCGAGAGGTGTCAGCTTATAATTTTATCTGTCACGCCCTGGCTCTGGGACTCTTATATGTTGAGCCAGGGTGTGTAGATTCTATGTGTTTGTGTTTCTATGTAGGATCTAGTTCATGTGTATCTATGTTGGCCGGGGTGGTTCTCAATCAGAGGCAACGAGAATCAGCTGTTGCTTGTTGTCTCTGATTGGGAACCATACTTAGGCAGCCTGTTTGCCACAGTGTATTGTGGGATCTTGTTCCGTGTATGGTTTGTGTTTTGTTACCAAGGACTTCACGTATCGTTTTGGTCGTGTGGTGAATAATTAATAAAGTATGTTCGCATTCCACGCTGCGCATTGGTCCAATCCTTTCGACGATCGTGACATTATCACAGTGGGATGTACTCGTTGATGTGAGAAGTGTGTCATTACACTGCAACTCTTACTAACAGTTCTAGGGATATGAAGTGTTGGGTTATTTTTTGGTATTTATGTGTGTCTCGCTGTGTGTAATATAATAGTTTTGATGCATACAGGTTTCCAAAAAATAATGTAGTTCTATGTTTGGTGAAAAGGCGGCTGGTGCCAAATCATGCCTTGAGATTCCTAGTTGGGTAAGGTTTAGGTTGGCATCAGCCATGCTCCAGGGGTAGATGGGGTGTCGTGACAACGACCTACTTGGCAAGATCCTGTGGGATAACATTGAGTTGGTGGGCCCTCAACAGACAGCTGGGAGGGAGAGAGGGAGAGAGAGAGAGAGAGAGAGAGAGAGAGAGAGACACAGATGCTTTTTTGAGAGGGATTGCTCTTTGCGAACAGCTGTAGAAGTGAGTAAACAACAGCATAGGGTTTCTGGTGGCTTGTTGCCGGCTACCCAACTTGGTGTGGTTGTCATTAACCACCACCCCAGCCCTCTGCTCTTCAGGCTAACGCATGCATATAGAGTCCTACATGAATGCCACTTTACAATCCTGTATGTAATGGGAGCAGCGAAAGCCTTGATGGGAGGGGGGGAGTGAGCCGGCAACCTACTGCTGATATTCTCTTTAGCAAGGAACTTAACCCCCTAACCTGCTCATTGGGAACTGCACTGCGGCTGTCCTCTGCTCCAGCCTCTCCAACCTGATGTGTGTTTCTGTGTGTCTGTGTGTGTGTGTGTGTATATCGGGGGTGGGGATGGATAAAATCAGAAGACAGATGTCCATCTCGTGTGGACTAATAAACTATATGTTATCTTATGTTAGGCCTACTGAGTATTGTTTCCAGATTACCCATAAGTATCCATATGTTTTCCCTGCTTGTCATAACCCTGGCTTATAGTGTACACAGCCTGTCTGGTTGTCACGTTTGTCCTGCCCAGTTAGGGTGTGTGTCACCTCAATGCCATCCACAACCTAGCTAATCCCTAAGAGTACCACTGGATCTTCTGTGCCACATGAAGTCAACTCACATAGGGTTGGTCCCACATTTTTTCCAGCTAATCAGAAACTGTAAATAAAAACATGTCAGCCATGGCAACAGGTGTGTGTGTGTGTGCGTGAGAGAGAGAGAGAGTGAGAGAGAGAGAGAGAGAGAGAGAGAGACAGATTGATGCACTGGGTTATTTTGGTCAGCCTATCTGTTCATTTCCATCACTCTCCTTTATATACTGTACATATCTGCTGATCAACCTTTCCCCTAGTTCTTCTTGAGATCTTTATTTTCAAACATTATATATACAAAAGTATGTGGACACCCCTTCAAATGAGTGGATTCGGCTATTTCATCCACACCCATTGCTGACAGGTGTATAAAATCAAGCACACTGCCATGCAATCTCCATAGACAAACATTGGCAGTAGAATGGCCTTACTGAAGAGTTCAGTGGCTTTCAATGTGGCACCGTCATAGGATGTCACCTTTCCAATAAGCCAGTTTGTCAAATTTCTGCCCTGCTAGAGCTGCCCTGGTCAACTGTAAGTGCTGTTATTGTGAAGTGGAAACGTCTAGGAGCAACAACGGCTCAGCCGCGAAGTGGTAGGCCACACAAGCTCACAGAACAGGACTGCTGAGTGCTGAAGCGCGTAGCGCGTAAAAATCATTTGTCCTTGGTTGCAACACTCACTTCCAAGTTCCAAACTGCCTCTGGAAGCAAGAACTGTTCATCGGGATCATTATAGCAGCAAATGGGGGATCAACTCCATATTGCATTACCCATGATTTTGGAATGAGATGTTTGACGAGTAGGTGTCCACATACTTTTGGTAATGTAGTGTACTTATACTTCCCTAGGATATTCTGGGTTATTTGAATAAGCCTAATTTATATCCTCTTGCTCTTTGATATTTACAGAAAAACAATATTGTTCCTCAACTGTGTAAACAACTTCATGGCAATAAAAAGTGTTCTATCATTTGAATGTTTTTCTATGTAGCCAATAGTATAAAGGCGTGTTTGTTTTCTATGTGAACAACATCTGAGCAGTTTGAATTTATGACATTTATTTGGTACCTAAGTCTGTAATTTGGTCATGAGTTATAATTCATGGTCAGTGAACAACAACAATAACATCTCTTCAACATTTCATTCTGCTGATGAACTGTGGTTCACCTAACCTAACCTAAAAGGTCATTTACAGCAGGTATGTTTGTTTCATCAGATTCCCTGCTGTCAGCTGGATAATTATATAATTTCCCATGAGTTACTGTTAGTATGGATGAATAAGTGACTTAATTACTAAAGAGTTGCTCTACACTTCCCATTGTTTCAATGACAGTGTCAATATGCAGCCCCTCCGCTGAGAGGTAATTTATGAAGGGCCATTGGTCAAATGCAGTGGCATTGTGGTTAGAGTGTCCACCCTGATATTGGAAGGGTGTGGGTTTGATCCCATATGGAGTCATACCAAAGACGCCAAATATGGGACCTAATGCTTCCCTGATTGGCACTCAGCATTAAGGAGATGGATTTGGGGTAAGGCCCTGCAACAGACTAGTGTCCTGTCCGAGAGATGTACTTGTACATCAAGCTGCCTCATGCTACAGAAACAGGAGATAGGCTCCTGCCATTCTGGCATGGACAAGGCTTACTTACTGGTCAAATGCATTGACGACCTTGCTGGAAGAGAATAGAACCAGAACACATTCCAAACTGTTCATTTACCTAAGGTCAAATCTAGAATCTTTGGAGATGTATATTTTTCAGTCCTTGAAAATAAGCAAATACAAGAGAGGCAAACAAACAATTCAGAATGTCATATTTATTTTTTCTTTGCATAGAAAACCAACCCATAGGGTCTCCTTATATAAAATACTTCTCGCATTTTCACATACCCAAATTCAAAACATAATGTAGATCTCCCATTTAGTCATTCCCATTCGACAAGCTTGGTCTTTACCATGAAATGTCTCTCTCTTCTACCATAAACCATTGAGTTAACATTATTGTAAAATTACCTAGTATGATCTGGGACTACTATGAATACAAAAATATGTAATTTTTCATTATCTAATTACAGAGCCATTTATATTCATATAAAGTGCAATAGAATATACAAATTGAAACACTTCCTATCCCTTCATTACTTTTGCATGGTCACTGCATCGTATCTGTCTGACCTAAAATGATAGCTGTGCACACAATGTATGGATGTGAATTCTAACATTGTTTCATTCCTCTGAGAGAATATGGCAACTGTCAAAATGCTGAAACACATTGAAGTACAGAACTACCATGGAATGACTAGAGGGTTACAGACAGACATAGAACGATCAGTTTCTGAAGACTGCAATTGTGATAGTGAACGTGGACACCAACATCTACAAGCCATACTCATTCAGCCTGAATATTTTCACTTCAACTTGACTCTCAAGTCCACATCTCAGTTCTGTTCCTTGAAAGAGTCTTCAGGGCTAGGGTCCCCCACTCTCTCTGCTTCACAGCTGTGCTGCTCTTTAACCAGTCACCAGTCCGTTCCTTGATCTCACTAGTGCAGGGTTCTTCAATTCCGGTCCTGGAGGGCCGAAACACTTCTGTTTTTTATTTCTACCTGGTAGTTAATTGCACTCACCTGGTGTCCCAGGTCTGAATTAGCCCCTGATTAGAAGGAGAGGATGAAAAACAGAGGTGTTTCGGCCCTCCAGGACCAGAATTGAAGAACCCTGCACTAGTGCTTAGACTACAACAGGGGTTAACTGCAACTCTTACTCGTGGTTCAGCAGACCTGAAGAACATGGCCCTTGCTGTTTGAGATCCTCGTCGACCTGAAAGAAAGTTGGAAAGAAAGAGAGAAACAGTTGGAAATAAAATAATTAGACCACATTTGCAACGGTGCCAATTCAGTGCTATCTACTTAACTTTTCACTAGTAAGTGACTATATCTGTTAAATGTCAATCTTCTATTCTCCATCTCCTTACCTCAGAGTAGGCAGGGGGAGGAGGGTACCAAAGCTCGGGGGCGCGCATGAACAGTCCTTCATCATCTGCGTCGTAGTCGACCAGCAGCGGTGTGAGGGGGGAGTCGATACGGCAGTCGCGGGAGATGTTGCTGTAGCTGGGTGGTTGTGACGGGAGGCGCAGGGATGCAAAACTACTGGAGGGGGTGTTAAGGGACTCTGCCTGGCTGCTCATGCTGTTGGTGCGGCTGCCAAAGCCATTGAAGGGGATGGTCCCGATGACCAGGGGCAACTCTAGGACCACCTTGTCACTGCCGGGAATGTGGACATAGATCTGATAGATAGATAGATAGATAGATAGATAGATAGATAGATAGATAGATAGATAGATAGATAGATAGATGTCATTCCTAGGTCACAAGTCCTTTCAATCATTTTCAATGTGAGGTTTATGGTATTAGCCTATATCAAGCAACAAGTTGTCTCAAGTTTATGACTCACCCTGAGGGCATAGTCCACGTGAATGATGTCGCACCCCAGGAGTGAGGGCTTGAGCCTGGGCACTCGGATGGTCTTTCCCTGCCACATGTCACACATGCCCGAGATGATATGGTTGCCCCTCACGACTGAGAGCTTCTCCCCCAGGACCTTGGTCCTGCCATTGGCCTGGTAGGTGTGCTTGACCATGATGGCTGCCTTGGGCACCACGATGCGTGAGCAGGTGTTTTCAAACTTGGCATTGATGCAGATGTACTCGCCCTCGCAGAAGCCCTTGCGGTCGATCTTGGCGCTAATGGACACATGTCCATCTGGGATGAACATGCAGGTGAGCTTCTTCTCCTTCGTACCTGCAGCTGGAGCCTGGATGAGAAACAATGAGAAACATTAGCATGAGTTAAGCATAAATCACCAAGCATGTTGATTGCAAGTCAACCATCAAGCCTAACACCATCCACCCAGGCCTTAAAATCTCTCATGTATAGCTAGTTATGGCAAAGTTATTAACATTATTAAGCCAAGCATCATCATTACATGGCTCATTCAAGAGAACAAGGTGTATAATACAATCAATGTCAAGTAGCAAGGTGTATAATGTAATCACTATCAAGTGGCATATATTCCTTGTGGTGATAATTATGATGATGTGAATGAGCTGTTATGTACCAGGAGGTCAGGGGTGTTGACGTCCAAGGGCTCCTCCACCTCAAAGGGTTTCTCGCACTGCAAGGCAGGCTGGGAAGGCCTCTCCATCACGGCCCTGACATAATACTGGACACAGCCAAACTTCCCTTTGTAGGAAGACACCAGTTGCCTGTGACAAAAGCAGGTGGAATTTTAATTGTGGGATGCTGTCATTATTACATAATGCTTTGCCTTTATAGATAACAAACAACAACAAGGTTTTTACAGTCCTTGATGCTTACCCAGGATGTGGCAGCTCGAAGCCAAACATGTACTCATATCTGTTCCCTGGTCTGAGAGTGACAGAGCCATTGGAGTCTGACGATGAGAGAAAGACATTATGGTCCATTCATTAAACTATGAACTTAGACAATCTCTCTTAGGTAAATATATTTGGGTCTATTTGTGCAATCCACTGCAGACCACAGGACACCCTTGGTCCACTTCTAGTGCTTATGGGCCAATAGAAATCCCCTCTGGCGCATTTGATCATTCATAAATATAGACGTATGAAAATAAAACATATAGCTTGTCTATAAAGCACAATTTCTCATGCTCCATCTTTGCGCAGTGTACTGTACTCGCAGACTGCAGTAGCCAACTAGTGGCAGTGCGTAAACCCTGAATGACCCCGGGTGTAGCCTGCCGACTGCAGTGAATAGCTATATTCACATTCGAGACATAAGTAAATGCCTTTTTCTTTATATTTTAGTTTGTAATATTACCTCTAGGCTGGTGTTCCAGATAAACGGTATCTTCGTATTTCAGATATTCAATGTCTTCACGGCATCTGTGCTTTCCTTTCGCGTACTCTACTTTTGCGCATCCAATTCCAAACACTCTCATAGCCGACACCTTGGTCACCTCCGACACCTCAACCACAATACTCCCGGCTACCTTGTCGCCACTGCAGTAGAAAGCCTTAGTAGGATCATGGAAAACGACCTCAAAGGTCTTCAATTTCTTTGTAATGATGACCATTTTAATATTCGTTCAGTGTCCCAGTGGGTAAGAAAATATAAGTGGAAAATTGCCGACCGCTATATTAGCTAGATAAACCAATTGAATTCCACTGATGAACAAATGTCCAACAGTCTGATTGCAATCCAATCACTATACTGTCACAATGTTAGCTACTTATTGTCATCAACCGTACAATTTGGAGCTGACTGTAAACAGCAAGTCTCCGCATAGGTTTTATATGGATGGCGAGAACACTTCCCAACCCAGTCTCGCCCGCCGCAAACTCACTATCCCGTTACGGGACTGTGCATGCAGTCGGTGAATGCACCGTTTGAACTGCTGCATGTACAGCGCTCTCATTGGTAAAAATATATTGTTTGTGCCCCTCCTTGCCAATCAGCACACAGAAAGACCGCGTGGACACCTCATGGTAAAGTAACGAAGAGGAGTAGATCTTACGCATGTTTAAACGTGGTTCAGGGGTTATATCCATCTATACCTTGTCCCCCAAATTGAGTCAACCAATCATTATACCCAACATACATGTGTTAACAGCAAATGTTCAATCTCTAATAATAAAATGTTGATTAGACGCAAGCATGAACAACTTTGTTACTTCCAACAAACACCTTACATTTGGGTAGGTAGCCTAATTGTATCGCTGATGGTAGGCTATGCTTGCTGACTGTCGACAACACTTAAAAGGGTAGGTAGCCTATAGGGTAGAGAATCAGGTTCAAATCCCAAATCTGGGGGGAAGATCTGGTGAGATTATTCTGTAAATGTATCTAGACACTCCATTTAGTATGATATGTTACATTTCGTATGGTATGTATTCATTTCTGGATGTCCATCATCCATTTCGTATGATATGTTACGAATTACAGTTCGTATGATATGCTACAAATTGCAATTTGTACAATATGTTACATATTTGCAAAACATGTTAGGAATTCAAGTAGTAATTTGTTGTGGCTAACGTTAGCTAGGTAGCCAACGGTAACGCTAGCTAGCTCAGGGGTTAGGAGTTAAGGTTAGGAGTTAGGTTAAAAGGTTAGGGTTAGCTAAAAAAAAAAGGGTTTGGGGTTAGCTAACATGCTAAGCAGTTGCAAAGTAGCTGAAAAGTAGTAAGTAGTTGCAAATTAGCTGAAATTGTCCGTGATGAGACTCCAACAACTAACGTGTATGTTGCTAGACTTTCTTGTTATACGCCCACCCAGACCAACCACCCCTCCTGTTGTATTTGCCTTAAGTAACTTTCTAGTTTATGTAACCATACCAAACCAAACGTAATATATCATACTAATTTGAGTGTCCCGGATTTACATGTACTATGTTACATCTAGTCTATAAAACCAGTCTGGATAATGAGGGGGTTGTTGTTGGTTGAAATCTTAAACGCATTCATAAAGCTCCTGTGGTGCCCATTGCATGCATGGTCATAAAGCCTGGTTGCTCCCACTTGAGAGGTATTATAACTGTTAACCAAAGGTGTTATTCCTCAGCCAGATGGAGCTCGTACATTGCATGGCGAATAAAAAGTATTCTATCTGGAACAGTGAAATAACATTTTTCTCGACACAATCTGAGGTTAAACATAGACCTCGTCATAATCATTGTACTGCGCTGGGGTAACAAGTAACAACATTTAAAGTCACGGACACACTTGTAGCGTTTGCCGGCAGTGTACTTCGCAGGGAGTTGGCTACTTAGAACCTTTTGAACAGAGTGCAGGCTGTAATTTGTAAACCGAGAGCAAACTCCACTGTACATTTAGAAACGGCCAAAAATGTCGGCAGTCAGACACCTACCTAGATTTGTTTAAGGAGAAAACACATCGCACCGAATGACGGTCTGCCTTACCTAAAACGTTGGTAAACCTGACTACGGACATTTTCGTTTGAATCCCTTTACGACAAAATTGCAGTCATAGTGCAGTATAACTGCAGTATGCTGCAATTACTGCGTCCAAAATACCAGTCGACAGCAGTTACTGCACTTTTACTGCAGTTTCAAAAAATGCAATATTTTTTGTAAGGGTCGGGTTTGCAATTTACAGCACTCTGTTCTGATGTGCTAAGTACTCTCGGCCGGCAAACACTACTGCTGAGTCCGTGCCTTTAGTAATGCCATCCCAATGGGCACAGACGTCAGTTCAGCGTCTAGTTTTGATTTACATTTGGTTGGGTTGTCAACTAACGTGAATGCAACGTGAAATGCAAATACAATCAGTTTCACTTTGATTCAACGTCATCACATACATTTTTGGGGGTTGAAATGGAGTGGAAACAACGTTGATTCAACCAGTTTGTGCCCAGTGGGATGGCTCCTGTGCAAATTCCTGCCAATTAACAGTCAACCAAAACTTGCCAGTGGCTAACTATGGCCCAGTCCTTTCTATGGTTTTTGAGAGTAGCCTACTGGAGAGTGGTGGTCTCTGGATGTATAATGTCCTGAAACCACTTGTGTCTGCTGCATAGCATTTGTCAGACCAAGTAACGTTTGATGAGTGACTGCTGTGGTAGAAGAAATGGGCTTGTTAAGGTATGGTTCCATCTAGTGGTTATATTAATGGTGGTTTGGTGTTCAGAATGAAAGTTCAGAGCTCGACTTGTCAGTTTAAGCAGCCACACAATAACCACAACAACTGTCTGTGCACTTACTGCAGTTATTTTTTAAATCTGATATTGCTCAGAATAAACATGGATTCAAATACTAGTACTTTGGCTATCAGTCCTAAAAACAGACACCCGAGGGCAGGGCATCCTCATCATGAGACCATAAGCCCGAATCATGTCCGCTACATTCACCCCCCCTTGTACCTCCTCCCCACGTCAGGTGCCATTGTAACGGGCAGGATCTAAACCCTTGTCTCCCATGGGAAAAACTAACATCCGTGTAGCTCAGTTGGTAGAGCATGGCGTTTGCAACGTCAGGGTTGTGGGTTCGATTCCCACGGGGGGCCAGTATGAAAAAATGTATGCACTCACTAACTGTAAATCGCTCTGGATAAGAGCATATGCTAAATGACGTAAATGTAAATTAGACCAAGAGGAGATTCCTTTTGGGCTGAGGGTGACACTGATTTTGAAGTCGCAGGCAGGGCTACCTCATTACTAGACCATGACCCTGACTCATGTCCACTACATAGACATTTTGTACACATACATGTTGGTTGGTGTAATACCGGTAAAAATCAATAAAGATTAAAACAAATTGGATTGGTGACATCAGAGACTCTGACCATGAAGGGTATTGCCTGGGTCACACACATCAGCTGGGCCAAAACATGTAACCCCCTCAAGGAAGGCCCCAGCGATAATTGAACAAGCGAACCCTGATTAACAAGACCAGTGCTCTAACCCTGCTCATCTTCTAGGCGCTGCCCGTGTTGCCAACTCCTCAGTAAGGAAAGTAGCTATTGGCTGTCCTAAAAGCCGCTAGAAGTCGCTGAATGACGTTATCACCTAATTTGCATAATTGGCAATGTGCACGTAATTGTGATGGACGCTGTAGGAGAGAGGAATAACGTCGTGGGAGAGACAAAAAGTGAGTAAAAAACACCCTACATTTACATCCCGAACTGAATGTAAGCCAGGGCGGGATCAGCCAGCGGCGGCTTCCCGCATGCGCGATTCATTTGCAGTCTGGACGCGGAGGGGTGAACATCTCCTGCTCTGACTGCAGCTGGAAGTGACTGCTGCTCGAGGACTGGGCCGCCTGTGAGTGTTTTGGGACGGGGGTAACAAAGCACCCGCTGCTCATTGAGAAGAGTAAGAACGATACGTGCTTCCACGTCAGTCTCCAAAAGTCTCCAATAACACCAGAAAAAGTCGCTAGATTTGTCGCTAGTCGCTTTTTTGAAAATGTGTCGCTAGAGGGGTCTGAATACTCGCTAAATATAGCGACAAAGTCGCTAAATTGGCAACACTGAACGCCGTTGCAAACTAATCGATAAGGCCACCCCTCATGACACCCACTCAGCTGGTTAGTGCAGTCTGGCCCAAGCGGCTAAACAGGCTGCTAGCATATGAAGCAAAGTCAACTACTCTAGGCTTGAGTGTCTGCTGGTTTTCATTCTTTCCATTACATCCAAATGTGATTCAGACCTAAGAAAAATACACATTTTTACATGGCAATTTGATCTGAAAACACAAACGTGGTACTGCCAGAACTCGCCACTAGAGAGCAGCAACAGACCATAAAATGCAGAGCCATTGATATACAGAAAACAAACACCTACAGGTGATGGGTCCATACCTACGACATCTGTCTATACTGCCATCTGACAGTTGCCCTCCAGCGGCCGTCAATAACAAGTCCTTTGTAACCTGGAATCAGGTAGAGGATTTAGGACAACACCGCACGATTTGACGGACAGACAGCACATCATTGAAATTCGCAAGAGTACTGTTCCCGTACCACCTAGCGGTATCCTAGCGGTTAGAGAGGCGAGCCAGCAACTGGAAAAATGTTAATCTTTTATATGTGTCTTTTTGGAGGGGTTGGGTTAAAAGCGGAAATCAAATTTCGTTTGCGTAATTGACCTATAAAGTGATCTTAATCTTAATAATTGCTATGAGTGTCGGCGGAGTGTACCATCGAGTCCCTATCAGTCGATTGTTGAAACATGTCCATTCGTTAATGCCTACCTTGTACCTATGTTTGTCCTGTGTAACTGCGTTTTTTTCTTTGGGTGCTGCAATCAGTAGTTTTAGTGAAACACTTAATTCTACACACATTTGTTCGGTGCTGCAATCCGTAGTGTTTGTTAAAAACTTCATTCTACACACGGTTGTTTAGCAATCGGGAAACGGCGTCCAGAGTTTGGTCACACAGGCACTTCGTTTTTTCTACACAGAGAGGAGATCCACTGGAGTTGGTTGGACGAGCGGGTAGCGAGAATGGGCGGAGTAATCTCACCGGCGCCACCTTAAAAAAAACAACAGCCGCACAGACCTGTCAATCAACAAGCAACCCAGACAGACATCAGCCCGGGGTGGCTGACTGTGAGCTGT